GATACCACAATAATAGAATGTTTTAGAATTTTAGATTTTCTCCTTAGAATTTTATTAAAGTTTTCTATCATTTTGTATTCAATAATCATTTTTCATTGTCATTTTTAGCTAAGATCTTCCGATAGAATATTGATGTAACTTACGCGATGTGAAATGCTTGGAGATTAATTTTTTATCACTCATGCGGAGCAACTTCTGTAGAGTTTTCTTATCACTTACGTGGCTTCGAAGAGGCAACGGACCTTCTCTGCTCGGTATCGTCACAACTCTATTTTATTCTCGCACTTTACCACTTTCTAAAAATCATGAGAAACAGGGCTTTACTGCAATCCAAGCATGCAAACATTAGGTAGATGTTTACCTTTCATTCATCCTTGTCTTAGGGCTACTAATGCACGATAACATTACATTTAGAAATAGGCTAATCCCCCTTTGACTTTTCTTTCTCCTTTTGCATATGCATTTAAAACAAAAACTTCTTTCTCCTTCAAAATTCAAAACACCTTAAAACTACTGATGAGAATCATGCTTTGCTTAGTATGGGAAGTGATAAGCGGGTCTCTTCTCGATCTTATTGCTCTTCATCTCAAGCCTAGGTGTGGCTCAATTCTCAAAGAGTCCTTTCATACCTAAGTAGAAAAGTGGCTAATATCTCTCTCTTGAGGTCGACTAGTCATTATCTGCAACAAAAATACAAACCAACTCAAACCATTTGTGTGCTCGAGCACTTTTATTTAAAACCCTTTTCAGGTAAGGACACGATTAATTTACTTCTGTGCCAACGCATAAGTCTCCAAAGGTCGAGCTGCGGCAGAAGGAGGAATTAACTTTGTCCATAAAAAACACAAACAAACAAAAACATATGAGCCGAACTACGGTAGCTATGATTCCTCGAAACGGATACGTAGGCATTGGGGTAGGGCCCAAGCGAGCACAATTTTATTTTCCCTACATTCTTTTCTCCTTTCTTTTGCATGCATTCTCCCTTTAGCAGTAATAAATAGTAAGCATAGATTAAACACACCCATAAGATAGATAACAAGAGTGGATACTGTAGAGTACTACGGGCGTGTGGGGGTGCTAATACCTTCCCCTCGCGTAACAAACTCTCTTACCCGATCTCTCCGTCGCAAGACCGTGACTTCTCCCTTCTCCGGTTTTCTCGATGTTTACCTTTCCCTACATGTGGGATAAAAGACGTTTGATGACGACTTCATTGTTTGATGATTTTCAGCCGGTTGTTTCAGTAAGGAAAAAAAGATATTAAACTTAAAATATTCAAAGGATTTAAATCATCAATCTGAATTAAAAAAATTAATGGTGCGTTAATTACATAATTACCCATGAATTTAGGAATATAGTTAGTTCTAATTTAGTTAATTTTATAAAAATGGTGGTAATCAATTATATATTGATAGTAAATATAAAAATTATATATTTTTTTATTTATAATTCAGATCAGGGTATATATATATATATATATATATATATATATATATATATATATATATATATATATATATATATATATATATATATATATATATATATATATATATATATATATATATATATATATATATATATATATATATATATATATATATATATATATATATATATATATATATATATATATATATATATATATATATATATATATATATATATATATATATATATATTTTGAGGAGGGATATTCTTATTTCAATAATAAATTATTAAAGTTTATTTCACATCTTGACCATTAATTTTTTTTAATCTAATAACTAAGCAATTAAATATGGAGAGAGAAAATTATAACTCATTATTTTTAACCATTAAAATGAGAAGAATTAATGATTAAAATATGAAGTAAGTTTTAACAACTTACTCTTAGAATAAGAATATTCCTTCTCATATATATCACAAGTTTTATATATTTTATAGTACATAGATTGCTCAGAAAATATTACAATAATTTCAACAAAGGTCTATGTTACAATATAAAATTTGCATTATATTATTTTATTATCTATGTTTTTAGTCTTTATTACATATAGCTATTTTGTAAAAGTTGTTAAAAGTTCTTTTGAGTTTATATATTCTTTTAAGTCAATTTTGTATTAGACTAAGAAAAATCAATTGAATATTTTTCTTTATTTTTTCTTTTCCTGATCTCTCTCATGGAAATCATGTTTTTGTTGCACAAATGTCAACATGATATCAAAAGATTTGACATTCTATTTTTCTTCTATTAATCTCAATTTTTATTGGTGTTTCATTGCCATTTACATATCTTCCAGTTACGTTAAGGTCATTCTTCACCAAAAACAAATTAGAATTCATAGATGGAACTCTTCCTTTAGAGTTAGAGAGTCAAATGAGAAGGCATACATCTTCGATTCCAAATTGAAATGATTTCGAATCCTGCACTTCCAGATCCCATCCTTGCATTTCCTCAGCTCCGAACATGGGGATCAGATGAGGAAGCGTTGCCTTTTGGGACTTTGGAGAAGATAGAGCGAGCCTCCAAGATCAGAGGGGTCACCAAGAAATAATGATCCGTGAAGTTTTTCCAACTTTCAAGGTAAACCTTGATCGACTGGTGAAGGGAAAATAACCCCTGCCCCTGGTCCCTCGTTGCAGAGGTACATGTCAAAGTGAAAGTTGAAAAATGGATTCAAAGACGACTCTTTTTCTAGATACTCACACCAATATTATAATATCTTGGCGAGGGCCCATACTGTTGGATGTAGTTGAGACAAGGCTATTCTTAGGTGCTTTATCACCCCTTCTTAAAAGTCCTCGAAAGAAATCCTAAACTTCAACCTCGAAAACAAACATTCATAGAATGAGATCGAACACCAGTTGAAGGAGCTATAAAATATCTTGGAAGAATCAACGTGAAAGACCGACTAGTCAAAAGAAGGTTTGACAACTTTTTAAGCGCATTCCAAACGGGAAACATTGTTGAAGAAGAAGTCCATCTTAACACGTTCTGCCTCCACCTAATGGCACTGAGCAACATCAACAGGTAACACCAAACTCTGGTGCTTCTTTTTGACCATGCCTTCCCAGTTGTCACGAAAAAGAGAATGTTGGTCATGAATATGAGAATGGCTTCTGAAGTCAATATAGTCCATATAACCTCCCTATCACTTAGATCCTGATTGTTCACCGTCTTTAAGGAATTAATAAAGTATGGAGTCCTATATTACTTCCAAGCAACCTCAACAAGTTCTAAATCTATAGAAGGTCGTATGAGAGGAAATTGATCGATATCAGTGCCACTAACAATGAGACTACCATAGTCCATCCATTCGTCTCCTTGGAGGAATCTCCTGTACTTCTGACAAGTTTAGAACTAGAAGGTTCATTATCTTCTTCAATGGAACCCTCGTTAGATCCAAAACTATTACTAATCTCGATAAGGTTTGTGATGGGTTGGTTAACCTCTAAAGGGGCAATGCTTTATATTTCTAGGTTCACTCCCAGTAGTAGAAGAAGTGTCATCGCTATTAGGTACATCTATTATATTTGCAGGTGCATCTCTTAGTTGGTCATGGCTAAAACTATGAAATGGAAACAATGAATTGTAAATAAGAAAAAGAGAGATGGTGCATGAGGAAGCAAAAAAAAAATGAAGGTAATAATTAAAGAGTGGTGACTAGAGTTGTAATGAACCAAGAAATGTAGGGTCTGAAGAAGAAAAAGACTGATAAAATGGTTGTTGCCAGAGCTCAGAAAGAAAAGAAAGAGTATGTAAAATAGAAGAAACTTACAGTTTATGCAAAGAGTGAAAAGAACGTTGAAAACACCAAGTGACCCTTATATAGAGGAGCAAGACGGGTTAATCAATGGCCTAAAATGAAAAAGGACACAAAAAAAAAGTTGGATTTCACCTCGAAAATACAACGATATTTGAGTGCACTTGAGCATCTTAGGAGGAAACGCCTCACCCTAGTCTAGAAACCTATGGCCACGTGTCATGATGATCCAGCGAAACATCTCAATGATGAGATTATCATTTAATTCACATGTTCCTTAGTTTACTTACAATGACTACCAAACTTCTTCCACTTCTGCAAGAAGCAACCCCAATATGAAGAACTCGACCCGATTTTCCAGAAAGAGTTCTTATTGTTACCTCACGAGAAACCTTAGGCGGAAAATTTTCTTGGTTGGTTAAAGACCCAATAAGAGAAAATCAAGCGTCTGATCCAAGCCATGAATCCCTTACCAGCGTTGGATATCATTTATCGGTATCAGTCTCCCGCATTCCAAGTAGTGAAGCATGGACACCTCAACCAACTTTCATATATAAGGTACCCCACACGTGAGAAAAAAAGATATAATTCAAATTCATTCAGACTCTCACTTTACTTCTCATATTTTCATTGACTTAGACGTTAGAGTGCTAACTTTGCATATCAACTTCATCTACGCTGCATCGAAACTTGCTCCAACGATCCAAAATCTCATCTCACCATTTCAAAAATCATCACTGATTCCCAAACAAAACAAAATAACTCTTTTTTTTTTTTTTTTTTTACTTTTATACAAACACAAATCAAATTTACTTAACTCTACTAATATTCAAAATTAAACTAATATTCATATTTGCTGATATTCAAACTAATATTCAGTTTTACTAATATTTCTTTTTTTAATTACATCAAAATTAAATTAATTTTCAATTTTTTAAAACTAAATATCAATATGTCAATCAAACATTGCATTTATTTTAAACTAATTTTGACTTGTCATTTAGCTTTATTTATTACATTAAAAATATATTTATCTTTGTTTTGTGTTTTTGTTTCTCTCTCTGTAAGCTGTCTTATTCGGACCAAAGCACACAAAATAAGACGAATTTCTGTAATTTTCAATTAACATTCGATCCGACCCACTTTTCACCTTCCTCCACCGAATCAAAAGTTTCTATCTTTTTGTCCTTTCATCTCAAATTTCAACGACCAACTCGTTTTTCAACTCAGTGTCCGTGACGTGACTCAGTAATGGCAAAAATCATCTTAGGATCTGCTGCGGCTTTGACGGCGGCGTTGGCGGCTGCAGCGGTGGCGGGACATCATTTGAAAGTGTCTGGAAAATGGGGTCATGCTGAAAGTATCTTGAAGGTGTTTGGTGAAGAGTGTGGAACCCCAATTGAGAAGCTGAGGAAAGTTGCTGAAGATATGGTTGTTGAAATGCATGCAGGTCTTGCTTCTGATGGTGGTAGCAAGCTCAAGATGTTGATCTCTTATGTGGATAATCTTCCATCTGGGTTCCTCTCTTTTCTTTTGCTAGCTATATTTCAATATCACTCAAATGTTTGTGTTTCTGTTTTTGGATGTTTGTTGTTGAATTTTTGTTCAATACTTGAGAATCAAGCTTTTTATGATGAGTGAATTTCTTTTGTAGCTGAATTTTCTAATGATCATTATACTTGATAGATAGCTATATGTGGAGTTTTGTTTGCCTCAATTTCCAATATTTTTTCAATATTAGAGAATTTTATACAGTAATAGAAGAAGATAAACGGGCAACAAGCTGCCACACTGCTCACTTTTCAATAAATGTTTGTTGAATAGTCATTGTCAATGTTTCTAACTATGGTTTTTGTTGCTATTGATGATTTATGTCATGAAATATGAAGCGCGGATACGAGTGTGATGCGATAAAGCCTATATATTTGAGTTTTGTGTTTTGGTTTTTGGATGTTTGTTGAATTTTGTTTGTTGCTATTGATGATTTATGTCATGATTCATGAGACAAGTTTGATACGATACGGCCTAGATATTTGAGTTTTGTGTTTTGGTTTTTGGATGTTTGTTGAATTACCTTGTTCTTTTAGAGTTTAAGAATTTCTGTTCAATAATTGAGAATCAAGCTTTTCATTGTTGATTGTTGTAATGACCATTATTGCTGGATAGCTCCATATGTGAATTTTGACTCCTCACTTTCCAACAATAGTTTGTTGAGTAGTCTTTGTCGATGGTTTAAATTGCGGTAAGAATACGCGGATACAAATTTTTTTTGACGTTGTGGCACTATTAACAGGGATGAGAAAGGACTCTTTTATGCATTGGATCTTGGTGGCACAAACTTCCGTGCCCTACGTGTGGAGTTAGGTGGAAAAGAGAAAGGTGTTGTCAACGTAGACTCTGAAGAAGTTTCGATTCCTCCTCATTTGATGACCGGTTCTTCACATGTAAGTCGTAATCAGAAAATCTATCAAAGTATAGCGCCTAATATACGCTGAAACATGTTAATTATTTCACTACAGGATTTATTTGATTTTATAGCGACATCTCTTGCAAAGTTTGTCAGTTCTGAGCCTGAAGAGTTTCGTCCTCTTCCCGGAAGAAAAAGGGAGTTGGGTTTTACGTTCTCGTTTCCAGTGAGGCAAACATCAATTTCATCTGGTACTCTAATAAAGTGGAGTAAGGGTTTCAGTATTGAAGATGTGGTAATTCTTGTTACCTTGATTCTATTATATTCGATTTTCTTTGTTACACCGTTCTTTCTTGATATTGTTTGTATCACATAATAAACACTTTCCATTATGGATTTTGTTTGGTTGTTTGTAGGTCGGAGAAGATATAGTTGGCGAACTAACCAAGTCATTGGAAAGAGTTGGCTTGGATATGTGCGTTACAGCTCTAGTCAGTCCCTCTCACCATTCTTCACAATTTCCTTATCTTTTACCCTATAACTTAGGTGTCGAGAACGATTTCAAGTTTGTGTCAAGAAATTTTTGATTAATGATAGTTAATGTTTCAATGATGTGGTGTTGTAGATCAATGATGCCGTTGGAACAGTAGCTAAAGCCAGATTCAGCAATAAGGATGTCATTGCCGGAGTAATTCTTGGTACTGGAACAAATGCGGCATATATAGAGAATGTTAATGCAATTCCAAAGTGGCACGGTCTTTTACCAAAATCAGGAGAGATGGTAAGTTGCATATGGATGATTTTGAAATTTTGAGGATGTTACAAAGCATGCTGATTATTGTTACTTCTATAGGTTATAAACATGGAGTGGGGTAATTTTTGTTCTTCTGATCTTCCTCTAACCGAATATGATCGCGCTCTAGATGAAGCGAGCTTAAACCCTGGAGAACAGGTAATTACCTATAGTTAGATGCCTTAACTGGTTATTGTTCATTTATGATACTTTTACATTTTTATCTGCAGATTTTCGAAAAGATAATTTCTGGTATGTATTTGGGTGACATTGTAAGGAGAGTACTGCTAAAGATGGCTGAAAAGGCTGATTTTTTTGGAGATATTGTTCCTGATAAGTTGAGAATTCCTTTCATACTTAGGTACGACGATAATTTATCCAACCTAATGCACTTTAATTCCTTTCATAACAACAATGCTGAATTCTAAGGATCTGTTCGGATTGACTTATTCGAGCTTATCTACTAGCATAAATTTTGTGAGACCGTTGGGAGAACTTATGAAAATAACTTATGATATTGTTCATAAGTTGTTTTCATCTTATTTTCATTAGTTGTCCAATATAGCTTAAGAAAACAATTTATAACTTATATAGAAGCTATTTAACTTTATTTTATCTTTTGTTATAGAAATAGCTTATATATAAACACTTATCATGATAAGTGTTTGTGCTATAAGCCGCAAATAAGTTGTTTATTCATTACCCTTTACTCTTTGTATAGATCTTTAACATCTTTTTTATGGGACGAATAGGACACCTGACATGTCTGCTATGCATCACGATACATCTTCGGATCTAAGGGTGGTCGGAAAAAAATTGAGGGACGTATTGGAGGTATGTCCGCTTCTTTGACCATGCGGAAAATACAAATATGCTTGTTTTTCTAGAATTTGATAGAAAAGGTAGTAAATTTTGGTGAATCTGTTGTTTAATCTTTCACCACTAATCTTTCATCACCAGTTAATTGTATTTCTCCTTCTCAAAAAAAGTTGTTCGGTTTACTCATTGGTTTCCTTCATTTTTTAGATCGAAAACACATCCCTGAAAATGAGGAAGATTGTTGTGGAACTTTGTGATATAGTTTCTGTTCGAGGGGCCCGCCTTGCTGCTGCTGGTATTTTCGGCATCCTAAGAAAACTGGGAAGAGACACGGTTAAAGCCGGGGAGGAACAAAAATCAGTGATAGCATTGGATGGAGGATTGTTTGAACACTACATGAAATTCAGAACGTGCATGGAGAATACATTAAAGGAGTTGTTGGGAGATGAAGCAGCTGAGACAATCGGCGTTGAACATTCCAACGACGGCTCTGGAATCGGAGCAGCTCTCCTTGCAGCTTCTCAGTCCCAATATTTGGGAGTGGAAAATTCCTAATGACGCGATTGACGCCATTGCCAAAAGTAAACAGTTGTAATACTAGTTTCGATTTTCTTCATACCATATAGATCGTTAGATTGAAACGGAAAAGCTTTAGTTATCGGTCCTTCAGAGGGTTCAACTGGAGTGCGGCCGAAGTTCACTTTGAGGTTATCAGTGTGGCTAAGTGTTCTTGCTGCGACCTCACCGGATCTTGACTAATCTCCCACTTTAACAATAATAGGGGAGATGTAAACTTTTGAGAACTCATGTTTTGGTTTGACCAAATGTAACATGCTTACAATGAGAATAAATCAGGATTAACTTATTGGCAAAGGTTAAAGATTGTAATTCAAATTTTTGAGTTATCAATGAAGAGTTCCTTTTGATTATTATGATATATTCATTCCTTGGATACTTTTTTTTGTAATTTTTGTTATCCTGGTTTACTATTGAGCTATCTTGTTTGAACTTAGCAAAGCTGGTCATTTGGAATCACTCAATTGCCTAAATTCGAAGTGTTTTGGGATGATTCTACGGCCTAAACAGAAAGTGTGTTAATCTCATTTTGGAAATACTCGATTCAGATATGTGTGGCACGAAACTTCGTCTTCTCTAATAAAACTTGATTTGGTTCCAATTTGTGAGTTTCCAACATAGCATGGTTTTCAAGTGTTTCATATTCAAAACATGAGATAAATAGCATATTCAAAACATTCAAAACTTTGAATTTATCTTCTTTGAAGTTCAAAGTGAATGGTGCACAGTTCCTAGTTTGTTACAAATGTGCATGTATTTTATCACATTATCAAAGGTTACTTATATTCTAAAGTACACTTCCTAACTTTAGAGGAACTTAAACTTAATGCAAACTTGTTAACTGTTATTCTGAATATTCCACCTGCTTTTCCCATTTTAAATTCTTAAGAAGTGGAGCATCATCATAAATATCAACAATCTTCTCCGCATTAGCTTGCGGATCTCTGCAACCGATCAATATCTTCAAGACTTCCTTCATTGATGGTCTACTAGCTGGCAGTGTTGAAGTGCATATAACCCCGAGTTTGAAGATGTTGATCATTTCAATCAAGTTACTAGGTTCCACAGCGTCTTCGTCCAGAAGCTCTTCTATATCGGTTCCTATCTGAATATGGCGCCACGCCCATTCTGCAAGCGACGAGTATTCGTCTCCATGATTAGCTTCTTTTCCAGTTGTCAGTTCCAATAGAACTACTCCAAAGCTGTAAACATCTATCTTCTCATTCACTCTAATTGTTTGAGCATATTCTGCAATCCATGCACCAAATAAACATTGAGATTTAAAATAACTTAAGATACTCGAATATTGTGAGAAAATGGGAAATTGAAATTGTTTTTACCTGGAGCAATATATCCAAATGTGCCAGCCACAGCTGACATGGTGGCAAGTTCTTCCGGCTTGATCAGTATCCTGGCGAGACCGAAATCAGCAACTTTTGCGTTGAATTTAGAATCCAAAAGAATGTTACTTGTTTTCACGTCTCGGTGAACAATAGGCGGCGAACAATCGTTATGCATGTAGCACAAACCTTGTGCAGCTCCAATGGCTATATGCAATCTCTTCGGCCAATCAATGATGTTATGATGAACTGTACCGGACGCAATCGGTGTCTTATTCTTTTTATGCAGCCACCTATCAAGGCTCTGATTTTCATGATACTCATATACAAGTAGTAGAGAATCATCACTTGAGATACAACACATCAACTTCACTATGTTGTTATGCCGAATTTTGCTAAGTATTTCAACCTCTGCAAGAAATGAATCCACAAGCTTCTGGTCTAACTTTCTGCTATTTCCCCTTATCTTTTTCACTGCAACATAACCTAAACCGTCGTCAAGAGCAACGCGATACACAGAACCAAATCCGCCGCTACCAATGATATTATCTTCTGACATCGACAACACAATGTTTGATTTTGTGAAACTGAGCCTCTGAAAGGAAGTTAGCTTCCATGTCCTTTTCAGTCCTCTCTTTCTCTTTCTGTAAAAACTGATAATCGAGAAAATCAACAAGAAAACCGTTAAAGAAGCTACTACCACCAAGATTATGATCATAGCCTTAGGCGTAGATGAATCACTTCTTCTCCTTGCAGTTCCAGAATTACACAAATTAAGGTTTAGTACTAATGTATCAGCACATAAACCAGAATTGTTCAGAAAGCTTCTGTCATACACAGGGTTTTCGAAATCACTTGAAATCCTCCCTGTCAAATAATTGGAGGAAAGATTGAGGTTTGTGAGTCTCGTGAGTTGAGGTGGAATTCGGCCCGAAATTTTGTTTACTGATAAGTCCAACATGTTGAGAGATGGTAACTGACAAATTGCGTCTGGTATTTCTCCCGAGAGTTGATTGTGGCTCAAGTCTAGACTTATTAGAGACTTCCATGATATTATATCTGAAGGAATTCGACCGGTGAGTTTGTTATTATCGAGTAGAAGAGTCGTTAGCTGAGGAAGTGATGTTAACTCCGATGGAATACTTCCATTGAAAAAGTTGTTACTCGCATTGAACACCACTATATTCTTCCAAGAAGAAACTCCATTTGGAATTCTACCAGAAAACCGATTGTAACTTATGGAAAGTCTGGAAAGACTGGGCGACAATCTTTCCGGAAGCTCGCCACTGAACTTGTTCTCACTTACCATAATTGTTGTCAAGTTCATAGCTTTCCATAAACCATTAGGAATTTTACCAGAAAGCTCATTATTCTCAACTCTCAGATATTGTAAACTGTTACAACTACCTAAAGATATCGGCAACTCGCCGCTTAGACTATTGTCGTAAGCAGTTAAACCAACAAACCTTCCATGATAACACAAATTCTGTGGTAGATTTCCTTTGAAACTATTAGATCCAATCTGAAAAGTTTCAAGATTAGAAAACCATCCAAAATCATGAGGAAGATTACCTGATAAATTGTTCTGAAAAACAATAAAATCAATCAGAGCTGGCAGCCGACCAATGCTTTCCGGAACCTCCCCGGATAATTGATTCACAAACAAACCCATGTAGGTTAGCTTTCCGAGGTTTCCAAAACCATCTGGTATTTTACCAGTGAGATTGTTCATCGAAAGATCCAAGTCTGTTAACTCGAACGCTTCAATAACATCCGGTATCTCTCCAGAAAGATTATTCTTGTAGAGATAAAGTATACTCAAATTTTTCAAAGTGAACAAACCATTTGGAATTTGTCCACTCAAAAAATTTGTTGATAAATCAAGCTCCTCCAAAGCCATCATTTCACCAACTGTTTCTGGAATATCACCAAACAAGTTGGAGGCATGCATATCAAAGATCTTTAATTTCTTCAACTTTGTAAAACTAGATGGCAACTTTGTTCTAGGTAGCATACCATTAGAGAACAATAACAAAGTTTCAAGATTGAACAAATCACCAATTTCATCAGCAATAGTCCCATTAAACTGACACTGATAAAGTTGAAGATTTTTCAAATCCTTCAACTTCCCAACACTCCTAGGAACATCACCTGAAAAGTTGTTTGCCCCGAGGCTAAGAAACTGTAAACCACCCAACCGATCGATATCGTTCGGTATGCTACCGACGAATAGGTTCTGTGAGAGATCAAGGTATTGAAGCTTGGAGCAATTGTAAAGAGACTTTGGAAACTCATTAGGAATGTAATTGAATTGAAAATCAATGTGAGTGAGGTTTTTGAGGTCACAAAGAAAAGGTGGCAATGTTTGAGTTATGTTTGTGTTGATCATTGAGAGTGAAATTATTGACTCATTTTCACATGCAATTTCTAGCCATAAACAATGTGAAGAAGTGTTTGATTTTGTCCAGTGACTTAGAAATGATGGATTTTGAAAGTGTTTTTTTATGTTTAATAGGATTTCATGTTCTTGTTTGTATAACTGAGATTGAGAATTTGCATAGGTGAATAAGAAAATGAAGAGGAAAATGAACATTTTTGAGTTTGTCATTTGTTTGTTTCTTGTTCACACACACAAATACATGTGTATCAGATTGAATGAAGAGAAGAAGATAAATGTATGTGAAAAGAATCTTTCACTAAACAAGTCAACAAAGCATTAAAGTTCGAATCATTTTAGTTGGACAAATTTGATAGAATTCAAATCTATTTTTGGTACCATAAAAAATAGTTTTGTATTTTCTTTTATAAATTTGTTTTTATTAAAAATAAATTAAATATAAAATATATATTTTTAAATTATTAATTTATAAATATCAATAATTTATTTATATTAATACACAAATATAAATAAATAACAACGTCAAAAATTAAATCTCACACTAACAATTTATGTTAATTTAAATCAAGTAGTATATACAATTTGAACTAAGTAAAATAATTTATATTTGAATACATTTATAATAGTAAAAATAAATTATATTATAAATATAATCAATTCTAACAATAAAGTTAATTATATTTTATATAGATTAAATACATTAATAATCAAATATACTAAAAAAATTAGATCAAATACATTGATAATCAAATATATTAAAAAAAAAAAGTAAAAATTATTTATAATAATGTTGAGAGAGTGTACTTGTTTTTAATCGTTGAATATGTGTTGAATACATTAATCAATGATTGGTTTCAACATCATGGGTTGCTTTCAAAATTGGAGTTCTAATTTATATAATATTGTTCTATTTTTTGAGGCATGTGTTTTGAATTTGGATGATTTGTGTTAGCAATTTCATGCATTTACTCTATTAGTATATTGGTGCACATTGGATACATTTAAACTATTAATGTCTTCATCCTTAATTATAAGATCACGAAGGCTAAATCACATTAATTAAAAAAGTTGATTATTGATAATTTATATAATTTTATAAATTTATCTTTAGCAAAGAGAAATAATTAATATTTACAAGTGTATTTATTATAAATTGTAGAAAAAGATGTAATATAATTAGAGCTATATTTGAAAAAAAATTATCAATGCACTTTAAAGTTGAAGAGGATCTTATAAAAAAG